TTCCCTCTTCAAATTGGTCTCCTCATTGCCAAAGCAAAAACGCAACATCTGTTGAAGCTTCGCCTTACTTGTAACTTCTAAAATGTGCACTTTTTTTCTGCGTCCACGGCGAGTCTGTACACCGAAATTTGATGTGCTTGTAAATATATTAACAATATGCTTGAAATATCCTCCTGAGGTCACGAAGTAAACTCAATGACCCACGAATGCGAATGCTTTGTTGTTAAAAATTGTGTTCGCATCAATGTCTTTTTCCGGTAGCTTACCTCGCTGTATGCCATGAGGTGTAAGTCACACTTCTTGAAATTCAACTTTTCCCTCAAATTTGCCTCCGAGTGGGACTTCATAGTTTGTTCCTTAAGTACCAAAAGCTCCTTGGATAAGTCTGCCACTGTCAGCTTTTGTGGAACATCTTCCCTTTGAATACCACTTTAATATTTTATCTCGATTTTTCCGTAAAATTCAACTATTTCTTTTGATATTTCCTTGGCTATCGCACTTTTTGCAGAGCTGGCCCCCATGTTGGATTGGGATTTCTAACCTGCCATCTGCGTGTGGCGAACGAAGAGCCTCGATATCGTGACTAAATCAAAATCGACGAGAAATCCCCATTGTGTGTCAGTTGAAGTCCCTCCGCCATCTCTTTACTTGAATTTTGATCGTGATACCTTACTCGGGAGTTATACAGGCTGTTTAGTTTTCTCTTGCCTCGTCCATCGTTTGATAATTAAGACAGTTCGCTCGGTCGAGTGGCCATCGCTCAATGCCGCTCGATTTAATCGAATTGCTTCTGGACTTTTCAAATTTACTGCATGAAACGACGACCGTTTTTTCCTCTTTCGGCTGATTAGCCCTGCCAGAAACACCAATTTTGTTACTCGGTCGCCGAATAAACTTTGAAACTATTGAACCATGTGCTTTCTTTATTCTCTCGTCTTCTTCTTGTTACAGTAAGGGCTTATGGGTAAATACACTAACGGGTGCTCATGGGTCACGGACCTCACAATTTGATCCGAGGAAAGATGGAAATTTAGATTTTGATCTTATTTTACTTAAACTTCGAAGTAAAATTGCATTAGGTTTGAGGTGACCCCCTAGCATCAGATCACTTTAAATAACATCGTCTTTTCCTTCTCTTTACAGCCATATAGAACACAAGGCTTTAAAAAATGTGTCAGCTTCAGGATTAAGTTGCTCTTACTACAACCCTCGGCGAATTAGTTTTCAGGAGGCTTTCGAGGATTTTAAAAGTAATGACTAAAAAACAGTATTTTGCCTTTTTTGCTCTCCAAGTCTGTTAAATATGATAGGTAGGCAGGTGTCCTAACAACGGTTATGGTCTTACCTCAATCAACTAGGTTTTTCGCTTATTTTTTTACCGTGTTTTGGAGGTAATTTTTAATAGTGCCTTTTCGAGCTTTATGTGCTAACTAGACGAAAAACCTCGGTAAAATTTATTTCTCAATTAGCCCCCAAATCCCTTTCTAATGTCAGTTCATTGTTTATTTAATCAGATTTTGGTCTGACTAGTCTATTTACCTCGAAAAATGCGTTGGCGTTGTCTCATGAGTTCAAACTGGCGCCGTTTTCCTCACGTTCATGTGTTATTCGAAACGAATGGCGTCAGCCTTTTCTTTCTTGTCTATTTCCGAAGAATGCTTCTGCATTGCTAAATTAGTTTTAAGTCAAATCTTTAGACGAAACTTGCGCAATAATTTAATCAAACATGCTCTGATTCGTCAAATATGATACAGCAAACGGGCAAGTACTTAGTTATCATAATCCTGCTCTTTCTGCTTTCATTGTCGAATTAAACCTTTTCAACATTTACTTTAGCCTGAAAACTGCCAGGTTCGAGTCACGTAAACCATTCTTCCAGTCTCGCTTAACCATCCTTTCTAGATATCTCACAAAATTGCTGACATGCCCAGATGAACTGGTTGCAATTACGCCACCCTGAAGACCATGTGTATGGCTTTCAAAAAGACAAATACTTGTTTGATTAAAACGTGGTACCATTGACTTGTGTGGTGGAACAATCAATACTGCTGCAAATGACGGATGCACATGATGGTGTTGAGTAAGGTGGTCTTCAAGGTATCTCACAGTAAAGAAACCTAGATCTGAAACAATTTCAAGTTTCTTCACATTTATATCATTTTTTCCATGCTGAAGGACTTCTCTGACTTCCAAATTTGGTTGTTGAACAGATAAGTTGAAATAGTCATATAACTGATTCCCTTTTATCATGAGATCGGTATCGTTTACATAGGTATTGCGATGCTGAGGTCTTGTAATTGCTTGGGAATTTGAAGGGTTCCTTACAGAAAATGAAGTGCAGCAAGCACTGAAATTACGGTGCAGACATTACTGCCACTAGGTCTTCCACCTATGGAGGACTTGCAAATGTGTGAGGGCAGAATCCACTCAGTAACATCAAGATGTCTTACAACAGTGAAATTTATGCCAAGAGTAGTCTGAGGATCTGGTCTTGGTAATGGAGCTGATTAGTTGTCGCAAGTACTCTGAATGCTTTCGTTCAGGTTTGCTGTGTGCCACGAACAAGGACAATTCGAGCAGCTGACATTATCACTGACTGTACATATACCATTTTCACATAAATGACCTTTAACCTGTACATTGTTCTTCCTCTTGTGTTAACGAATAGGATGGTGACATCATCTACAGTGGGAAGGTGCCTTGTTGTGTGAAGGTGTGGGTTGGTTATAAGTTTGGATCTGGCTAAGATTGGAAGAGGTGAGTGTTTGGGTTGCTGGATTAAGGTTGGAAATTTCATTGTTCAGCTGTCTGATGACCCTATCAAACTCCTCCCTCTCAATTTCTCTTACCCCAGAGATTTCACCAAAAAAATATGTTGGCATTGCTGATGTCTCATTACTGTGATCATGTTGGGATTCAAATTCATGCATACTAGATGCGAGATAAAGAACGGCTTTTTTGCTGTCTCCCCAAGCTCTTTTACTTTTTTCTCCAGAAATCCGTTACAGAGTGAGCATGAAGTTGATCCTTCAAGGCAAACATCATGGAATGAGTGATGACAACCATGCAAGAGGGTCCAATTCTCATTTAGGCTGGAAATATTACATTGAGGTAAGTCATATTGTTTTGTTTGATCTGGCTTGATATCACAGTGATATCCTAGAGGTAAAAGAGCAGTCTTCATATTTTTGTTGGGAGACACTGTTGTCAGTGTGACACGAGTTGGGAAAGTCGTGTTGCATCTGTTGTTTGAGAAGAAGAGACTCTGTCCTGGAATCTGAGAGATTTTCTTAAACATGAAAGACAGTACTTGAGCACATCTTTCTTTTAATGAGCGTAGTTGGTTGTGTGAGAAAGAAAACTGCTTGGGTGTGGTGAGAAATGATTTGTAGGGGGACTGTTTATCTTTCGACTTGAAAATGGACTTTGCCTTTTTCCTGAGTTCATCTGCAGCATCAGAGCCTTTTGTCTGAGAACGAAGTATACTATGAGTGTTTTCCACAGGATATTCATCCAAAATAGCGATGTAATTCCTGACTAGGTGATATAGCTGTGGAGCATGTTTTTCCCAGTGATAGCACATATTCATCCAAAAAAGTGGTGTTTTGTTATGGTGCCGGCGTTGGAGGCAAGTGAACATTATCCAAATTCTGATCATTGCTCTTAAGTACTCCAAGAAATTGTTAAGTTTGAAAGAAATGCTATATATTAAAAACACTATAGGTATATTGCTGTCTAGTAAATTGAATGGGGTCCAATACTCTACGTCTTTGAACCTGGAGAACTTTGCCATTACAGTGTGCCATATAAGTGTCCTACCACCATAATCAATCTCGAGAATAAGACTAACTCTCCTGGGTTTGGGATTACCTGCCCATTTGCTTCTTGGGAAAATTATTATCTCATACGTAAGGAGGCAGCGTGGCCGAGTGGTTAGAGTGTCGGACTTGTAATCCGCTGCTCCCGGGATCGAGTCCCACCCTGACCACTGGATCTGTTTCACGGTAGCCCCGAGCTCAGATACTTGGCCACGCTTGTAAATAGGCAACTGGTTTGCCGCCGGCCGGTTGGGGTTGTAACAAATGGATTCATCACTGTGACCATAAAATAATGCAAGCATAAGAGCAGCAATCTCTCAAACCAAAAATACAGCTGAATGTAAAATGATATACTGTGGTCCTGACTGATAGTGTAGGTTACATACAGGTTTCACACCATCCAGTGTGATGCAGTAAATGGCTTGAACCCGGGGGTAACATGTGAAGGTGTAGTCTGATCGTCCGGGTGAGTGTAGTCCTGAGAAGGACTGTTGCCGGTGGTAGTGACTGACATTTCGAAAACCTGTGCGGAAGTCATCATCAGAGTCAAGTGAATGATTGTTGTCTGTTGTCAATTGTTCCGACTGCCAAGCCTCCTACATCGGTGAGACTGGCAGAAAACTCACAACAAGACTGACTGAACACAGACGGGCGACGAGGAAAGGTGATGTCAGCAATCACATTGCTAAACACCATCGACTTACCAACCACAACATTGACTGGGACTCTGCGCAAATCCTAACCTAAAGCACTGACTATTTTCAACGACTGACTCTGGAAAGCTTGTTTACTGACTTAGAACAGACTCCCCTAAACAGACGTCAAAAACTACCCGCTCCATACAAACGACTCATTCACGACATAAACATCACAAACGACCGAAAAAGAATGACCTAACTTTACCAACAGATCGAAACAGACCAATCACGACCGACTTACGTCACTTGAGTCTTACAGCCAATAACATCACGGCAAAACCAACCGATCATTTCACACGAACTGGAATAAGAACATTCTACTGACAACAATCATTCACTTGACTCTGATGATGACTTCCGCACAGGTTGTCGAAACGTCAGTCACTACCACCGACAACAGTCCTTCTCAGGACTACACTCACCCGGACGATCAGACTACACCTTCACATGTTACCCCCGGGTTCAAGCCATTTACTGCATCACACTGGATGGTGTGAAACCTGTATGTAACCTACACTATCAGTCAGGACCACAGTATATCATTTTACATTCAGCTGTATTTTTGGTTTGAGAGATTGCTGCTCTTATGCTTGCATTATTTTATGGTCACAGTGATTAATCTATTTATTACAAGCTTACAATTTTTTTTTGCTGCATTTTCATCTGCTGGTTAAATGAAATTTATTTTGTTACAAGTTTTCATCAAATTCCTCTATGGGAAAGAAGAACCCTCTAAAATTTTCCTGGCTTACAATATATGGCTTCATAGCTCAGTTGGTATGGTAGGACCCAATGAGTGTCTGGAAGGGACAGGTTCGATTGCTGTTTTTCTTCTAGAATTGCTGAAATTGTAGTCCAGCTGCAGTGATCATTTCTTTTCTAGATTTCCAATAGTACACAGTAGTGCACAAAATCCTTCTTTTATTTGAGACTGGTTATCAAACTGGTTTTATATGACTGTATAAGAATTGTAAAATCTAATTTTGTAGAAAAGAAGGAAGATTTTTAAAATGTTTCAGATTAAAAATATATGCTGCAATATGTGGTTTGCAACCAATCTCTAGAGAAACAGTTAACAATAGTGAAAGGAACAAATGCTGGTGGACGAAGAGAAGAAGCTAACGAGTTATCTATTGTTTACGTCCACCAACATGGCGGCAATGACATAACGTACAAACCACCTATATTATTTAGAATTTTGTACCTAATAGTATGTCCTTCAAATTCTGAAAAGTAATTTCTACAGATCAATGCAAGCTGGTCAGAGGAGGAGAATAAAAGATTCAGTGAGCTTGTTTCAAGCAGACTTAAAATCCATTTTATTGACAATTTTAGAGGGAAACTTTATATGCGGTTAGTGTACAATTATTTACTTCTCTTAGCTATAATAAAAGCCCTGCTTTATCTTCTCAACCATTGAATCTGTAACCCTTTAACTCCCAGAAGTGATTAACATGTAACTTCTCCCCATAATATTCAACATTATTCAGCAAACAAGTAATGAGAATACTCAAACTTATCAGGTAGAAGTTGTTATCTTGATCTAAAACCAAATTCTCGTAACTTACTTACAAGGAAATGTGTGGTAGCTAGAGGAGAATTAATAATCAGTTCTTGGATGTAAAAGGGTTAAGAGTGACTAGCATCTAATTTCCACTAACAATGTCACTTTTGAATCAAAGATTAAATTTAAAAGTCTCGAGGATAAAGGAAGTGATCACTAATGGTGAAAGATTATGATTGTGAAACAAATTGTCCTTGTCAGTTCCTTTAGAAATATCTAAAGAACAGTATTGAGAATATGTAGAGGGTTGAAAAGCTCAGACTATCGATCAGAGGTAACTTGCCATGGGTGAAGAGAATGATCAACGAATGGTGACTCATGTTTGTTCTCAATTTAAATTCTGTTCTACCAGTTCCACTTTGGGATCACTATCACATGGGAAGTGACTACATCATTAAACAAATAGAAATATTTCATTGTGATTAGATTTTCATTTCACTGCATAGAATAGTCCCATTCCTAGTTGATTTGTTGTACTGCCACATAATTTCTTGGAAAAAACTGTGTGGAGAGATTCTAGCAAAAAAAATATGCCTTTCTCACCTCTTATCTGTTTTATTTTTTGTCATTGAAGATTAAAATTTTTTTTCTCATTGCAGAAATAGAAATGGTGAAGAAACTTCAGTGGGTGATGTGCTTATCTCTGAAGGCCTTGCTAAGGTACAATGCAAATCTTTGTGCACTTTAAAC